AAAAACCAGACACAAGGGGTTCCCGAGATTCTTTCAAATTTCTTCAAAAACAAAACGCAAGGGGTCCCCGAGATTCTTTCAAACTACTTCAAAAATAAAACATAACGAGTCTCCGTGATTCTTTCAAATTACTTCAAAAATAAGTCACAAAGGATCCCCGAGAATCTTTTAAGCTACTTAAAAAACCAGGCACAAGGTGTGCCCTAGATTCCTTCAAACTACTTCCTAAATAAAACACGAGGAGTCCCCGAGATTATCTCAAACTACTTCAAAAGCCAGGGATAAGGGGTCCTTGGGATGCTTTCAAACTACTTCAAAAACAAAACACAAAAAACCCCCAGATTCTTTCAAATTACTTCAAGAACCAGGCACAATTGATCCCCGATAATCTGTCGAACTACTTCAAAAACCAGACAGAAGGGGTCCTCGAAATTCTTTCAAACTACTTCAAAAACAAAACACAAGAAGTTCCCGAGATTCTTATATATTTTGTCTTATTTTTCTTAATATACACAGCCATCTTTTCCCAACAAGAAACTTAAAATATGGTAAAGATGGTACATTTTTGCAAGGAAATATAGATTTTGCAATTATGGGGCGGAAGCTAATTAAAATTGATATTTCCTTATACAAATTTTACATTTTAAACATGTTTTAAGAAAGGGAAAACGTAGGCCCGCCCACCCGCCCTCTCTCAATTGTAATAATTTTTTCTATTCACCGTGAAAAAAAGGGGCGGAGCTTAACTGCAAAATACCTATTTCTTTACAAAAAATTAAAAACATGTTTTTGAGTATCGTGTTGTACCAAGAAGACTAAGTATATTATGAGAAAAAAAAGCAAAATATAAAACCCCACCCACGCACCCCATCTTAAATATGACGATTTTTTTATTCTTACAAACTTGAAACACGTTTAAAACGGTAAACTTTTGTAAAAAAATATGGATTTTGCAATTAGGCTCCGCCTCTAGGTCTGCCAACGAATAAAAACTTCATTACTATTTAGATTAGGGCAGGTATGGGTGGGGCTTAATCGTCGGCTTTAATTTTTTCTTAACATACATAGTATCCTTTTCAATTAAATTCCACTACTTTGATGTTCGTTGAACAAAAAAAATCATCACATTTGAGATAGGGTGGGTGGGCGGGGCTTATATTTTGCCTTTTGTCTTAATATACGTAGTTGCCTTTTCAGAACAAGAAACTTAAAACATGTTTAAAATGGTAAATTCTTGTAGATAAATATGGATCTTGCAATTAAGTCCCACCCCTCGATCTGACAACGATTGAAAAATTTATCACAATTGAGAATTGAGATCGGGGCGGGTATGGGTTGGGCTTAATCTTTGGCTTAATTTATTCTTAATATACATAGTAGTCTTTGTACAACACGACACTGAAAAACATGTTTTTAATCTCACGTAGAGAAATAAGGATTTTGCAGTTAAGTTTCGCCCTCTTGGCACACGACGAATAAAGAAAATCATTACAACTGAGATCGGGCGGGTGGGCGGGGCTTATATTTTGCCTTTTTTTTCTTAATATACACAGCCATCTTTTCCCAACAAGAAACTTAAAACATGGTTAAAATGGTAGGTACCTTTTTGCAAGGAAATATGGATTTTGCAATTATGGGGCGGAGCCTAATTAAAATCGAGATTTCGTTACATTTTAAACATGTTTTAAGTTTCATGTTGTGAAAAAAAGTCTACACATATTAAAACTAAAAAGCAACATATTGAACCGCCCACCCGCCCTATCTCAATTGTTATGATTTTCTTACAAGAAATTAAAAACATTTTTTTGATCGTGTCGTTCAAAGAATATTACGTACATTAAAAAAAAAGCCAAAATACATACCCAGCTACCCACCCCATCTCAATTGTGATGATTTTTTATTCTTAGAAACTTAAAACATGTTTAAAATGGTAAATTCTTCTAGACAAATATGGATCTTGTAATCAAGTTCCGCCCCTCTTTCTTTTAAAAAATAAAACACAAGGAATCCCCGAGATTCTTTATTTGCTTCAAAAATTTTATTAACACGGAAAAATCCCCGAGATTCTTTAATTGCTTCAAAAACAATACACGGAAAGAACTTCGAGATTCTTTCAAATTACTGCCAAAACAAGACAAGGGATCCCTAATATTATTTCAAATTACTTCAAAAACTAGACGCAAGAGATTCTTTTACATTACTTCACAAACAAAACAAGAAATCAATCTACTTTAAAAACAAAGCACAAGGGATGTTCGAAATGCTTTCAAACTATTTCAAAAACCAGACACAAGGGGTCTCCGAAATTCCTTCAAATTGCTTCAAAAACCAGACACATAGGGTCCCCGAAATTCTTCCAAACTACTTCAAAAACAAAACACAAAGGGTTCCCGAGATTCTTACAAATTATTTCAAAGACAAGACTTCCCGGGACTTTTGAATTATTATACTTTAAGCGATTTGTTGAGATGAAACATTCTGTATATTAAACACATTCTCCTGTATAACTGAATCTTCTCCATCTTTTGCTTCTTTAATATTCTGTTTATGTATATTCTCCGAACTTATTTTTATATAGTGTGGACCGCCAAATAGTGAACATTGAATTTCTGTCGGCAGAAGCTCTTATTGGAATAAATTACTCAGGATTATAGTGGTGATGATTTACAAAGGCTCTACTTTTGGATTACTTGTCGGAAAGTCGGAAATAATCAAAGGTTTTGTGAATCGCATGTCCTTGACCATTATAACCTAAATACCGAATGATTATTAATATCTGTGATTTTTTTTCTCAAGTTGGCAACATATTTAAAATTTTATGATCGCATACCTGATGCATTTTCTCATTGGTCTTTTAAGCGCACTCATGTCAAACTGACAACTGTGAACCGACATTAAAAACATTGACACCATTAATTCAGAATTGCCAACCGAAAAACTTATTATTAACAAAGACGTTAAAATCGAAATGAACACATATTTTTTAGCTGTACTACTTGCAACGCTTTACACATTTGTTTCACCCAGATTCTTCATTCCATCTTCAAATAGTTCGTTGTTTTTTTAAGATTTCTTTTCCTTGCCTTCGAGATTTAATTCAATTTTATTTTAACTTACTTTGAAAAAAGCAAATAATATTCTGTTGTCAAACACCTGTTGTTTTTAATTTTTCTTTATCAGATGCTATATACTTTCAATTTCTGTCAATGTTTTCTTAGCACTGTTTTAAATTTTTATTAACCTTGTTTTATGAATTATTTTTGTATCTAATAAAATTCGATGATGTTTTTATGAGGGGTTGGAGAGTACAATAGCATATTAGGATTATAAGTGAGAAAAATGAAAAAAAAAACTAAAGAAATTTGTTTACAAAGTAGCAAAACGTCATTCTGATTCGTTTGCGTCATTGTCAGCACATTGCCAATCCTTAGGGATATCTTTTGCGTTACCAACATAAATTAACAGTAGTGGATCTTTAAAATATTCGTATAAACGCAATAGAAGTATGCATGTGCAGTATTATAGTACTGAATCTGATTCAACATTTTCCGACAATTTTTCTTAAACGCTTACTTAATACAATTGGGAGAACACTAAAGTAACTAAAGTAACACAAGGTGTGTACAACCACGACACCTTTTTTTTAGTGTGAAGGTAGACGGGTTTCGCCAACTAAGTAAGCATCTTCACCCTTTCTCTTTGTTCTTTTGGTGTTAAAAAGTTAAAGTGATAAATAAATAAGATTGTTAGGTTTGGGGGCGCCATAAGGCAGTGTCATACTATGGGTGTAAAGCACACTATCATTCGTTCGTAATAACGGATAAGCGGATTTAAAGGGCAGATAATAAATTCATATTTGTTTGATTAAAATGTTAATATTGATCCACTTTAAATTATTTAGTGTAAACACCCTGCACGGTTCAGTGAGGACATTTATTTAAACAAGCTTACCTCCACATTGCCACAGCTACATGAATAATTCATCAAAAAGAAAAACATAAAACTTTAGACATTATTATCAGAAAATTATAAATATGTATAAGTATATTCATTAACCAGCTTCGAATGTAGACATTGCATAGTCATCCATTGACGATGGGTTTAGGCTCGAACGCCGCTTTTGAACCCATCTGTGCACGAGGGAGCGGAAGAAAAACATCACTATCTAGAGATTAAGGGAATCGATTCCGACTATTTGTAGTAATAAAGTGAGTCAAGAGGTGATAGTAAATTATTAGAATACCTAGCGAGCCAATAAAATCTCTTGTAATTCTGTAGTTTGGCTAAATAAGGATGTGACTACAGCCAACGCCGTGCATGCAGAAAGCTCTTTCGCCTTACAATAACATTCCGATCTTGTTTTTGTAGCCTAATGGTCTAATCCCCGGACATTTAATTTTACGATACAGTGAAAATGTGCCAGTTCTTGTTAGTCGTTCCTCATTATGGAGGGGCCACTAATTCAAGGACTAGGGCAATTAAGCGCCGCCCCTACTCATTTCGAATACAATTAATTTTAACCATTAACGGGAAACCGACGCGATTATGCGGGCAATTTTACCCATACATCTTATTAAAGTGTCAAGTGACTACCAAAAAATTTAGACCTTGAAAATTCGACATGACGTAATTGCTTCCGAATGTGTGGGTTTCGTCACTTTTATTTACTCCGTCCGGTTTTTTACCGATCGTTTCAGCTGTTCTTCTTCGGTTTCAAGATCACCAGACATCAGACGATCTGCGCTCCAATTTATATCGGGCCTTATCAAAGGACATTTTATCTCCTAGTGCAAAGATACTGCTCTCAATGTACTTGGGTACAGAACCACGAGTCTACCTACGAAGTCTACAAAACAAACAATTTATTTATAGATTCAGTAAATCATTTGCCTCATGTCCTGTGTGAAGTTGGCTTTAGTAGGTCGTTTAACCGGTGGGTTAAAATCACTACAAGCTCGGCTGCCGCCATCTGGACGTCGTGGAAACTACTAGAAAACCACTTTTGACATTTTAGTGACAGATGTTTGACAACTGTGTTGTAGTGTTTGCGTAATAATATTGTGTTTTGGGTTTTATTTTTACCAAAAACCGATTAGCATCAAGTAAAATATGTCTGAAAGAAAAGTTCTAAACGTAAGATATATATATTTATATTTTTTGTGGTTTTCAGATTGTAACCTTATTTTTTAGAAATACTATCCTCCGGATTTTGATCCGTCTAAAATTCCTCGCATGAAATTGCCCAAAAATAGGCAATATACAGTGCGTTTGATGGCTCCTTTTAATATGAAATGTAAAACGTGTGGGGAGTACATTTATAAGGGGAAAAAGTTCAATGCTCGAAAAGAGGATGTAGAGAATGAGGATTATCTGGGTATACGTATATATAGATTTTACATAAAGGTGAGTTATATTGTTTAATAATGTGTCTCTTAATGCCTATTGTAAAGTAAAAATTTTTCAAAACATTAAAATGGTGTCACTAGTTTGTATGGATAGGCAACACACTATACAAGTGTGTACAGCGGTACGAATCTTCTGAAAGTGTTGACCCAAATGACGTTTTAAGTGCGACCGAAAATAAAGTGAATTAGAGTTGGCTTTGCGAAGTTACGCAGTAGTACCAACTCATTTCACAACCAACTTTAAGTTGTTTTATTTTCAAACGCAGCATCAAATTGTATCACTTGTTTAGGTGAACGTGCCCTTATAATGTTTAGTTTATGCTTGAGGATTTTGTGTGTATTTACAGTGTACACGATGCCTCCAAGAAATCTCCTTCAAAACGGACCCAAGAAACACGGATTACGAGATAGAAGCGGGGGCAACACGAAACTTCATGGCCCTCAAGCTCGCAGAAGAGCAAGCAATACGAGAAGAAGAAGAAGCACGGGAGGAAGAAGCCAGCAATCCGATGAAACTACTAGAAAACCGAACCAAGCAGTCGAAAAACGAAATAGAATTATTGGAATCGTTGGAAGAACTTAAAGATTTAAACAGACGGCAGGAAGCCGTTGACTATGATTCTATGTTGTTGGCATATGATCCCACGATATCTGAAAGAGAAAGGGAGGAGAAAATGCAACAAATGGACGATGAATACATCAAGTATGTCCAGAATAGTCTGTGGCAGGTTGGTAAGTGAGGAAAGATAAGCTGCTTTGTAGTCTAGTGGTCAGGGCATCCGCCCGGCAAGCGGGAATCGTGTGGTTCGATTCCCACCGGGGCAGCAACATTTTTCTTCGCTTACCTTCAAGTCTAGTCGTCTTGTCTTATTGGTGTCTAATTTTCAGGACTATCAAATTTCACAGTGCGGATAAACGGAAGTTGGTTGTTGAAGAAGAGATCATCGAGGAGGATGCACCCGCTGCCAAAATACCAAAAGCGGAAGTTGTGAAGGATGTTAAAAGTCGAAGTGTTCCCGTGGTGAAAAAGAGCATCGGTGGTCCGACGTCGTCCCGGAAGATGTTAGCCGGACTGGTGAAAGTGAAGAAGGACGAGCCAAAAAAGGAAAAAGAGGCGGTAAAGCCCGAAAGTAGTAGTTTAAGACTATTAGGTGCTTATAGTGATAGCGAAACTAGTGATTAAGTAGGACAATAAAACTTCTTAAGTAACAAACGTGCTTTTTTTATTGTTACAGTTATGATACATTGAGGGAACCAAATCTTAGCACCGTCATGAGAAAGGCCTGATGAATTTAATTCAAATCTGAAATACAAAAACACGCTGTACAGAACGTAATGACGTTAGAGACAGAATTAAATCCTTCAAACCTTTCATCGTCAATAATTAATAGTCAGTGTCCGAATTAGCCGACTCATTTAGCTTTTCGCAAATTTCGTTAAACGTACCCGCACCAAGCAGATCAGAGATGATATTAAACGACTCGGATGTTTCTATTTTCGAGGCATCTTTTCTCTGCCTGGAATTTTGACCCGTTTCGTCAACGTCTTTCGTGTTTGAAGGTTTTAATTCGTCGGGCATTCCCTTTCCGCCATTCGACACTGTCAGCTTCAATAAATTAATGAAATCCTCGCAAGATTGATCGGCATGCTTTTGTAAAATCTGATACAACTTCCCCCTCAGCTCGATTTGTTTTCGCAGGTTGTTATTAAGCTGGTTGGAATCGCGCGTGTGATGCGACCACGAATAATTTACGTTGAGAGCTTTTTTTCCCGGAGCGCTCGGAAGTTTAATTTTCTTGAGGTTGTCGAGACGAGCGCGGAGATGATCCACCTTTTTCACCGACATGCCAATCAACGACTCAGACACGTATTGCGGCGAATTTATATAAGATTTACCCACTTCTGTTTCGACGCATGACGGATGCTCCGTCTTTTCTTCGCCCATCGTTGCCATGCAAATTTGACACCTGTTCTTGCCCCATTTCTCGCCGGAAAATTCGGAACACGCTTCCAATTCCTTCATCTGGGCTTTCAGCTTGTCGAACGCCTTGTCTTTCAGGACGAGCTTCTCGTGGATCTTGTAGATGGTTTTGTTTTTATACTCCAGTTCCTCTTTGGCCTACGGGAAAAAAACGTGTCAGGGAAAAGTCATCTCAAACAACTACAGTTGATTTTATTTATATTCATGGGCGGCTCAACCGATCGATCAAATTTGTTCAAATTACAGGCTATACGTGAAACAGAGTAAATGTTTTGTTTTTCTAAATAAGACTTCCAATTTTTGCAGTTTGTAATTTTCTAAAGACAAAAACAAAATTTATATCAGGTTACTTAACAGACTTATTTTTATAATAAACAAGAAGTTTCGTCTTTATTTTTTCTACACGTGAACCTTTCGCAGCAGGAGGAAGAGATTTATCTCTAGTATCATTTTATTTTCTCCAAAATCTTTTGTTCTTGTAATATTTTTTGACAAATTATTACTGTATTCAATCCACTATACTTTGAAGATTTTGAATTTGAATTTGAATGTGACTTAGTTTAAACTAGCAAAAATAACAACAAAAAATTAAAAATAAATAAATTTTATTTATTGAAGTTGATAGGTATGTTAATATTTTGTATTGTCCTTTCGTCACTGTAATTAATTTTCTTACGTCTGGTCTGAAGTCACGTTGTTCTTTCAGAATCCTAGTCATTGTACGAAACAGATTTTTCAAATAAAACTCTGCAAAAATAAAATGACAGATAAGAATATTTAAAATATTGGCATTTGGTACTTTAGTTTCTTGACAACGTCCGGGTTTAAGAATAGTAGGGAATGGTGCCGCAAATCTTTTACAATGATCTTCGTCAAGCTGGAACGTGATTCTGCCAAAAGCTGAAACATTATTTTCTATTAATTGTCTTTGTTCTTTTAGTAGAGAGAGTTAAAATTCTTTTAACTATTTTAATGGCAATAAGATAAAAAAATGATGTAGGTGTGTATATTATATCCATTAGAGTTTATACAATAATAATAATAAGGTAACAAATAATAGTGGTGACAGTTTCAGCCTTGAATTCAAAAAGTTCTTAATTTCAGTATTAAAAAATAATTTATTTCTGGAAAATAATAATTAGTGTAAAATTAAAATTAAATTAAAGTTACTCAATTAAACAGCTATATATTACTTACCTGATCGACATGTCTTTATTTTGCCATGATTCACAATTTCACAATTCACAATTTTTTGTTTTGCATTTTCTTAAGAAAGTTTCACTATAACCATTTTTTATGCTCTTAAAAATTATCGACTTTAACTTTGAGAATTTTTTTTATGACTTTTATTAGCTAAAATTATGCGTGGTTTATTAAGATATAAATAAAGAAGCTTCGTATCTTTCTGGTGAGTTATTCCATATACAAATTTTTTGACGACGTCATCAACATTTTAGTATATCAATTTAGTATTAGTCGATTCCGCAGAATCCTTGAAATCTTTGACAGTTAGAGAAGACTGGACTTTCACAGTATTTGCAATTTTTTGACGAATTCAATAATAAATATTTAGAATTTGTAGAATTGAGTAAATTTTTGAAATTTCCAGAAGTTCCAGATTTTCCAAATGTTTATAAAAATATCAGTCTTCGGATATGCTAGCACTCAATATTTTCATCAGTTTTCAAGATTGCTACATTTGTCTTTCAGATTGTTCACACTTTCTAGATATTTCCAGATTTTCTAAAATTTATAGACTCCAAGAGTCTTTAAATCTTTGGAGTTTTTGAAATCTCTGGAATCTTTAGAATCTCTGAGAGTAATTATGTGTTCAAGACAAGGATTTTTGTTTTGTTCAGAGTCTTTGGAATGTTTAAAATCTTTGTCATTTTTAGAGTTCATGCGAATTTTATAAATTCTAGAATCTTTGAAGTATTTGGAACAGAATTTTGAAAATATTTTTAACGTTTGAGACCTTAGAATATTTAGAATCGTTAGTTTTTCAACTTTTTAGACTTTTTAGACTTTCTAGCATCCTTAGAGTTCTCAGAGAATCTTTGGAAAATTTGGACACTTTATAAAGTTTAGATTTTTTACAATTTCTGCAAGATCTTTGCAATTTTTATTAAGATTTTGTTGGACATTTCTTTTATTTAGAACTTCTGAACTTTATTTTATTTAGAATCTTTGTGTCTTTACAATTCGCTATTTTTAATGTATGGGAACTTCAAGATCTTTGGAATGTCTTGAGCTTTTAGAATGTTTGAAAGCTTTGAACCCTTTTTAATCTCTCAAGCTTTTGGAAACTTTCAAATCTTTAGAATATCAACAATCTTAAGTTTGTGAAAATTTTGAAATTTTGAGTGTATTTTTTTTTTAATTTTTCAGAATTTTCGTAATTTGCAAGATTTTCGAAATTTAAAGAATTTTCAGATTTTCCAAAATATGTACATACACAAATTGCCCAGAATTTCCAAATTTTTCAAATCTTCTAAATTTATCAAGCTCCAGTTATACCAGAATTTTGAAATTCAACCTTTTCCAAAATTTTCAAGATTTCTAGGTCTACTACATTTTTCCTGCTTTCTAAATTTTTCCAGATTTTCCAAAATATATAGATCTCAAGAGTCTCTAAATCTTTGTAATTTTTGGAATCTCCTAAATCTTTACAATCTCCAAGATCTATAAGATCTTCAAGATCTTTCGTGTTTTTAGGATTTATAAAAATAGTATTCTCCAGATTTCTACGAGTTTTAGATTTTTTTTTTTTTTAGAAGTCTGTGCAGTGTTTAAAATTTTTGTCATTTTGATACTTCACGTAATTTTACAAGTTTTAGAAACTTTGGATTTTTGGAATTTCTCTAGAACCTTTAGAATCTTTAAAGTATTTAGAGTTTTTAGTCTTTACAGTCTTTAGACTCTTCAGAATCTTTCCAATCTTTGGAAATTTTGTACACTTTAGAATTACTAGAAGTTTTATAAAGTCTAGAATTTTTACAATTTCTAGGATTGTATCTCCAGGTTGTATAAAAATTAAAAAGATTTTGTTGGATCTTATATTGACACCATTGGAACTGTAGTTTATTTAAAATCTTTAGTATCTAGAATTCGTAACTGATAGTATATGGATACTTCTGAAAAGATCTTTAGAATCTTTGAAAGTTTTGAAATATTTTAAATCTTTCAAACATGGGGAAACTTTGCGATTTTTAAAATATCTCCAATCTTAAGATTGTGTAAACTTTTGAAATTTTGAGATTAGTTATATAATAACTATCTTTTTTTTAATTATTCAGAATTTTTGTAATTTGTAAAATTTTCAACATTTCTAGAGTTTTCAGATTTTCCATATTAGCCAGATTTTTCAGGTTTTCCAAAATACACAAACTGCCCAGATTTACAGATTTTTCAAAAATTCTAAAATTATCAGGCTCCAATTATACCAGAATTTTGAAATTCACTTTTTCCAAAATTTTCAAGATTTCAAGGTCTACCACATTTTTTCCGCTTTCTAAATTTTTCTAGATTTTGCAAAATTTGATAACTCAAGATTGATTTTGGCACTTTTGGCATTTTCGACTGTTATTCAACTATGTCCGAAAATTAGCCACCCTCTCTTTTCTTAGAGAATATGTTATTTGCTTAAATCAGTTTTATCTTAGCAGGTACTAGCTAGTATTTGATAGTACAAAACTGACTTTGGCAAATAACCTACCTTCCAAAAAAATAAAGGGTGGGTGGGTGGGGCTAGTATTTGATAAGTCAAGATTGATTTTGGCACTTTTGACATTTTCTAGCATTTTTTAACAATGTCTGAAAATTAGCCACCCTCTCTTTTCTTAGACGGCTGGTATCTTCTAAGATAAGTCTGATTTTGGCAAATCACATACCCTCTGAGAAAAGCGAGGGTGGCAAACTTGCGGACATAGTTGAAAAATGGTCAAACATGTCAAAAGGGCCAAAATCAGTCTTATCTTATCAAATGCTACTATCCCCACCCACCCGCCCTCTATTTTCTTGGAAGGTTTGTCATTTGCCAAAATCAGTCTTATCTCAGCAACTCTTTGCTCCGTCTACTTGCTAACTTGCTAAGATCAGACTGATTTTGGCAAAATACATCGGTTCCAAAAGAACAAAGGGTGGGTGGGCGGGGCTAGTATTTGATAAGATAAGACTTAATTTGGGCAAAAGACAAACTTTCCAAGAAAATAGAGGGCGGGGGGGGGGACTAATAGTTGCTAAGAAAAGACTGATGATGGCAAATAACATATCCGTAACTAATTTTAGGAAATAGTTGAAAATTGGTAGAAAATATCACAAGTGCTAGCCCCGCCCACCCGCCCTCTATTTTTTTGGAAGATATGTGATTTGCAAAAATCAGTCTTATGTTATTAAATCCTAGACCCGCCCAAGAGTCTTTAAATTTTTGTAATTTTTGGAATTTCTTGAATCTTTACAATGTCCAAGATTTATAAGATAATATATATTTTTCAAGAGCTTAAGATCTTAGGAATTATACAAATTAAAGAAAGCATGCTTCAGTTTTTTACGATTTTTAGATCTTAAAATTTTTTTTTAGGGTCTGTGGAATCTTTAAAATCTTTGCCATTTTAAGAGTTCACGTAATTTTACAAGTTTTAGAATCTTTGGATTTTCGGAATATCTCTAGAACCTTTAGAATCTTCCAAATATTTGAAATAGAATTTTAAAACCTTGAGTCCTTACGAATCCTTACAGTCTTTAGAATCTTTAAGGTCTTTGGACCCTTTAGAGCCTTTAAAATATTTAGTCTTTAGAGTATTTAGTGTTTTTAGTCTTTACAATCTTTAGATTCTTCAGACCCTTTACACTCTATAGAGTCTTTCTAATCTTTGGAAATTTTGTACACTTTAGAATTACTAGAAGTTTCATAGTCTAGAATTTTTACAATTTCTAGGATCGTTAGTACCTCCAGGATGTTTAAAAATTAAAAAAAAATTGTTGGATCTTATATTGGGAACATTAGAACTTTAGTTTATTTAAAATTTTTAGCATCCACAATTCGCAGTTGCTAGTGTATGGAAACTTTGGAACTTTTCAGGTTTTATATCTTTTTTTTTAATTTTTCGGATTTTTCGTAATTTGCAAAATTTTCTACTTAGAATTTCCAGATTTTCCAAAATTTCTAAAATTATCAGACTCCAGTTATACCAGATTTTGAAATTCAACCTTTTCCAAATTTTCCAAAATTTATAAACCTCAAGAATCTCTAAATCTTTTTAATTTTTGGAATCTCTGGAATCTTTACGGTCTCCAAGATTTATAAGATAATAATTAGGGTGTTCAAGACCTTTAGTGCTTTTAGGATTTATGAAAATTAAAGTAGGCATTCTTCAGATCTTTACAATTTTTCAACTTTTGGGGTGTTTGTTTTTTTAGAGCTTTTGGAATCTTTGAAATCTTCGTCATTTTAAGAGTGGTGTCCCAGTTAGAATTCAAATTTTGCGCTGAAAAAAAAACGCCTCGAAACCGCATTTGAATAATTTAAATTTAAAACAAATAAATTAAGAAAATCGTTAAACATAGGCAACCACGTGCAACTTCAGTTTGGTAGTTCGTCTGGGGAATTACTATTAAAAAAAAAAGAAATTAAGGCATGTCGAAGTGGACTGGTATTGGTCACGGTGCTACTGTACACTGTGATGACGTCCTAGGTTAATTTAGTTTATACAAGTTTCATAAATTAGCCATTGTTTAAACGAAAATTACTCGAGGCCACAATTTGCCCACGAGCGTAATTAATGTATAATGGTTTTATAATCTGAAATGCTGTAAATTTTCGTTGATGTCGACACGTATTGTCAATTTTTGTTTATTGTTTGTAAATTTACAGCTCATGCTAAGATTTTTAACTGTTCCAATTTAGCAGTCATGAAATTGTTCATTGTTAGGAAATTCACTTATTCAGGTTTCGCTCTTTGTATAACTTCGGTTAGATTACCAATATTATTTAGTTGTAAAATAAACATAATAAATTAACCATAATTTTTAAATATGAACCTTATTTGACAACATTGTATGTGTGCCGAAATGCATGCACCAAAAACGAAAAATCTAAAAATATCCTGTTTCTGTAATTTTCATTCACAAAGCATTTAACTTACAACTTAAAAACAAATTATTTTCGTCTGCTCATAAACGTAAAACACACTTCATAAGTCATAACCCTTTCCAGGTACAACATTTAATACTCCACACTGCAACGTATGTGTAGTATTCTCAATCGAGTGTTTCAAAAGCTAAATACAAAATCTCACCTCGTGCAAGACCTCCCTCAGCTTCGCTGAATATTTGATAGCATTATCCTTCTCCAGTTTCAGGGCGGCTGCTAATTTCGCGTGAGCTTTCAGCGAGCTTTGCATCTTAGTTACTTGATCGTTGAGATGCTCAATGTGCTTTTGCGTGTCTGTGACTTTCTGCTTGTAATCCATCAGTTCCATAAAATGAGTCTCGCTTGGCTTGTACTCGATCGCAGGAATATTATCCATTTTGATGCTCATCTCGTCCAGTTCTTTCTCCCTGTCGTCCAGTTGTCGTTTCAGTTCTTCGACTTGTTCTTCCAATTGTTTGCTCCTGGCGGATATCGCGTCCTTTTCTTTTTCCAGTAGAGCGTATTCCTGGGCTTTGATTTCCAGCTGCGTTTCGAAGTTCCGGCAGCAGGTCTGTTGTTGAGTTTCTGCGGACTTCTGCATGGTCTCCATGTCTTTCAACCTAAAGAAACACAATATGTAACATCAGTTGTTGGTCCAAACATCAACAAGCATATCAATCACCTGAACGCTCGTTCTTCTTTTGATGTTTGGACTTTGATGGGTTAGACAAATTAACAGACTTAAATTTATGTGATTTATATATTTTTACTATACTATTTCAATGTATACACCGAAGGCATAATGAGTTCATTTAGTGCTTTCAAAGTAATATTAACTAGACACCTTGTGTCAAACTGATTTTGTTTCTCTGTGAATTTTTGCTGCAGGAGGGCTTCGTTCTTTTTGAACTCATCTTTTTCCTTCATCCATTGGATCTCTTTTCTTCGCATTTGCTCTTGGACTTGTCTAAAAACAAACAAACAATCAAAGACTTTTGCAATGTAGCACGAAATTACTTAAGTTTGTGCATCGCTTCGCTGCTTTTTTCTTCAGCCTCTTTGGCTTTCGTTTCTATATCTGTCATCTTTCCCCGCATGTTTCTACTCTTCATCAGATTGTCATTCGCCGCCTTCCTCTCCCTCTTCATTTCGTCTTCCAGTTTCTACAACACCCAAACTTAGAGAAACTACGACCCCCGCCTCACCCCTTACCGTGTATTTTTCTTGCATTTCGGTGATAGTCTTCTCGTACGTCGCCTTCTTATCTTCATACTTCCTCGTAACCGAATGAAGATTATCTTCCGCTTCGTGCAGCAACTTCTGCTGATGCTTCACTGTATCCTCCAAAGTGGAAATCTTGTTGGCCGCTTCGTTACTAAAAATTTTCATCTTAATCGTTTTCTGCCAATTATCAAGTGCTTCTTGAATCTTCTTTTCGCTCTCGTTCAGCGCCACCTGCATCGTCTTCTCCAAATTCTCCTCCTTCTTCTTCAGCTCTTCGACCCCTGCATCGAGTTCCGATATCTCAACAGCGGATTTCGACGAGCTTTCGAACATTTTGAAAACTTGGTCGCGTTCGGTGAAGCACTTGTTACAGGCTTTCATGCACGTGTCCAGCGCGCTTTCGATGGAGCTCCTCAGGTTCGTCACAGCTTCGTTCGCCGGATTTTCGCCTGCGCCGCTCATTTTTGAGTCGTCTACCTTGAGAGAGATGATCTTGAGGTCCTCCAGCACCACCTTCTTGCCGAGCTCTTCCAGTTGCTTCTTGGTCCTCATTAGTGATTTGTGCATCTCTTGTAGCGGCCTCTGGCGGTCTATCAGTTCGGAGTGCAGTTGCATCAGGCGCTTCTTGTTGTTCATGAACTGGACTTCGAGTGTGTTCCTGTTGATGACGGGAAGCCCGGAGGTGGTGGAGTGGCGGTAACTCGAGGATTTGGGACTCTTGGCGGGGTTAGCGCCCGATTTGAGTCGGAGAGGAATTCCGGAGTTGGATTTCTTTTTTTGGGTCAGTTCTTTTGTTCCTAGGGAAGCTTTGATGATGGGTTTGCTGGTGGTTTTTGTAGTGGGAGCTGGGATTGGGAATTCAGGTGGTTCTAGTGGGGGAATCGGCTCATCTTTCTTTGGACTGAGGTCGCGACGGAATAGTTCTTTGGTCTAGAAGGTCAGAACAAGTTTTAGAGGAGTCCATAGAAGTTGAAAAGATAGGTATAGAAATGTAATTTGATTCTAGAATAGAGGAGGAGGAGAATGATTGCCTGATAATTTTTGGGACAAAGACTAAAGGACTACAATTAGGCTTTTTATATAAAAACTTGAGTTTCATTTTATAGAAGGAAAAAATTGATGAAGACTAATTGTCAAAAAAAGAAGGAAGATCTTCTAGAAAAAAGGTTTAGAACAATCAAGGACTACTGTAGTACTGTAGAACCAGCAAAGGTACTAATTATGGACAGAACAGAAAAACCTACAAGTCAGATAGACATAACAAGTTTAATTCAAGGACAGAATGCACAAAAAGGCTCTAGACCAGATAGAACTATAGAGGTACTTTTCTCAACGGGGTCCCAAAAATTTTAGAGAATAAACTCGATGAAACTATCGTAGATTACTATTGCTGACTACAAAAATTTAGCGTTAAGAATTCTTTGTTTTGAAAATCAATTGTGTTAAAAATCCAAAAAGTTGTTCCAGTGGACAAGTCTGGAAAAAAATGGTAGCAATTATCGAAGAAATGATGAACTTCTGGATGTTGAAATTTACTGAAAATGGCTTTGGCTGAGTTTCGAAAATGGTCAAAAATTGGATGAAAATTTCTTACTGAAAAATGTTGCTTTTGAAAAAGTTGCCAAAAAAATTCCAAAAAATTCTGTGATATAGATTTCGACGTGCTGATTACAAAAATTTTGCTTATTTATGGTCCCGGGACAAGATTTTAGAAATATTCGTTTTTAAATTCAGTTTTTTTTTAATCCAAAAAATTGCAACTCTTGAATGGACAAATCTGAAAAAATGGTAGGAATTATCGAAGAAATGAGGCCGAAACTAACTTCTGGATGTTGAAATCTATAAGAAATGTCTTTTGTTAAGTTTTGAAAATTGTCGAAAATTGGCTGAAAATTTTTAATCGAAAAATTTTGCTTTTAAAAAAGTTGCCAAAAAAATCCGAAAAAACTTTGGGATTTCGACATACTGATTACAAAATTTATCGTATTTTTGGTCCAGGCGCAAGATTTTAGAAATATTCTTTTTGAAAATCGATTTATTTTTAATTAAAAAAAATTACAATTTTTCAGTTCTGGAAAACTGTTCAGTTATCGAAAAGTTGAGACCGAAACTTCCTTCTGGGTGTCGAAATTTATTAGAAAATGTGTTAAGTTTAAAAAATGGTCAAAAATTGGCCGAAAATTTTAAGGGGTGGGGAGTAAAGAAAAATTTTGCTTTTGAAAAAGTTGCCAAAATTTCTCAAAAAATTCTGGAACTTTCATTTCGACCTACTGATTCCAAAAATTTAGCGTATTTATGGTCACGGCGCAAGATTTTAAAAATATTCGTTTTAAAAATAATTTTTTTTTAATCTAAAAAAAATTGCATTTTTTCGGTGGACAGTTGAGGAAAAATGGTCGGAAATATGGAAGATGTTGGATGTTGAAATTTGTAAAAAATGTTTTTAGTTGAGTTTCGAAAATCGTCGAAAATTAGCTAAACATTTGTTACTGATAAATTTTGCTTTTGAAAAAGTTTCCAAAAAATCTCAAAAAAATTTGGGATTTCGACGTGCTTATTAAAAAAATTTGGCGTATTTTTGGCTCCAGGGCAAGATTTTAGAAATATTCATTTTGAAATTAATTTTTTTATCCAAAAAGTTGTAATTTTTCAATGAGCGATTCTGGAAAAATGGAAGGAGTTGTCGAGGAAATGAGGTCGAAACTAACTTCTGTATGTTAAAATCTATAGAAAATGTATTTGATTAAAAATGGTTGAAAATTGGCTGAAAATTTCGTATTAAAAAATTTTGATTTTGAAAAAGTTGCTAAAAAAATCTAAAAAAAAAAGGGATTTCGATATGCTGATTACAAAAATTTGGCGTATTTTTAGTCCCGGGGCAAAATTTTAGAAATATTCTTTTTGAAATTCAATTTTTTTTAATTCAAAAAAATTGTAATTTTTTAATGAGCGATTCTACAAAAATGGAAGGAGTTGTCGAGGAAATGAGGCCGAAACTAACTTCTGTATGTTAAAATCTATATAAAATATTATTTGGCTAAATTTCGAAAATGGTCGAAAACTGGTCGAAATTTTCTTATTGAAAAATTTTGCTTTTGAAAAAGTTGTCAAAAAAATTACAAAAAATTCAGGGAGATAGGTTTTGACGTGCTGCTTCCAAAAATATGACATGTTTGTTGTGGAAGATTTTAGAAATATTTGGTTTGAAAATCAGTTGTGTTAAAATTCAAAAAGTTGCAATATTTCAATGGACAATTCTGAAAAAAAAAAATAGGAATTATCGAAGAAATGAGGCTGATACTAACTTCTAGATGTTGAAATCTATAAAAAAATGTCTTTAGTTAAGTTTGGAAAATGGTTGAAAATTGGCTGAAAATTTCGTATTAAAAAATTTTGATTTTGAAAAAGTTGCTAAAAAATCTCATAAAAAAATGGGATTTCTATATGCTGATTACAAAAATTTGGCGTATTTTTGTTTCCGGGGCAAAATTTAAGAAATATTCTATTTGAAAACCAATTTTTTTTAATTAAAAAAAATTGTAATTTTTTAATGAGCGATTCTACAAAAATGGAAGGAGTTGTCGAGAAAATGGGGCCGAAACTAACTTCTGTATGTTAAAATTTATAGAAAACGTATTTGGCTAAGTTTCGAAAATGGTCGAAAACTGGTCGAAATTTTCTTATTGAAAAATTTTGCTTTTGAAAAAGTTGTGAAAAAAATTACAAAAAATTCAGGGAGATAGATTTTGACGTGCTGCTTCCAAAAATATAACATGTTTATTGTGGAAGATTTTAGAAATATTTGGTTTGAAAATCAGTTGTATTAAAATTCAAAAAGTTGCAATATTTCAATGGACAATTCTGAAAAAAAAAATAGGAATTATCGAAGAAATGAGGCTGATACTAACTTCTAGATGTTGAAATCTATAAAAAAATGTCTTTAGTTAAGTTTGGAAAATGGTTGAAAATTGGCTGAAAATTTCGTATTAAAAAATTTTGATTTTGAAAAAGTTGCTAAAAAATCTCAAAAAAATGGGATTTCGATATGCTGATTACAAAAATTTGGCGTATTTTTAGTCCCGGGGCAAAATTTTAGAAATATTTTTTTGAAAATCAATTTTTTTTAATTCAAAAAAATTGTAATTTTTTAATGAGCGATTCTACAAAAATGGAAGGAGTTGTCGAGGAAGTGAGGCCGAAACTAACTTCTGTATGTTAAAATCTATAGAAAATGTATTTGGCTAAGTTTCGAAAATGGTCGAAAACTGGTCGAAATTTTCTTATTGAAAAATTTTGCTTTTGAAAAAGTTGTCAAAAAAATTACAAAAAATTCAGGGAGACAGATTTTGACGTGCTGCTTCCAAAAATATAACATGTTTATTGTGGAAGATTTTAGAAATATTTGGTTTGAAAATCAGTTGTGTTAAAATTCAAAAAGTTGCAATATTTCAATGGACCATTCTGAAAAAAAAAAAAATGATAGGAATTATCGAAGAAATGAGGCCGAAACTAACTTCTAGATGTTGAAATCTATAAAAAAAAATGGCTTTAGTTAAGTTTGGAAAATGGTTGAAAATTGGCTGAAAATTTCGTATTAAAAAATTTTGATTTTGAAAAAGTTGCTAAAAAAATCTCAAAAAAAAAGGGATTTCGATATGCTGATTACAAAAATTTGGCGTATTTTTGGTCCCGGGGCAAAATTTTAGAAATATTCTTTTTGCAAATCAATTAATTCAAAAAAATTGTAATTTTTTAATGAGCGATTCTACAAAAATGGAAGGAGTTGTCGAGGAGGTGAGGCCGAAACTAACTTCTGTATGTTGAAATCTATAGAAAATGTATTTTGTGAAGTTTCGAAAATGGTCGAAAATTGGTTGAAAATTTCTTATCGACAAATTTTGCTTTTCAAAAAGTTACCAAAAAATCCCAAAAACTTATGAGCTATAGATTTCGACGTCCTGATTACAAAAAATTTTATTTATTAATGTAAGAGTTGCAGAAGAAGTGAAACCGAAACTAACTTTTGGATGTTGAAATCTGTAAAAAATGGTTGAAAACTGGTCGAAATGTTCTTATCGAAAAATTTTGCTTTTGAAAAAGTTGCCAAAAAAAATCCCAAAAAATTCTGCGATATAGATTTCGATGTGCTGATTGCTAAAAATTAGCGGGGCAAGATTTTCGAAATATTCGTTTTGAAAATATTTTTTTTAAATCCAAAAAAGCGGGCGATTCTAGAAAAATCGTAGCGATTTATTATCGAAAAAGTGAGGCCGATGCTTACTTCTGGGTAACGAAGTCTATAAGAAAATGTCTTCATTTTGAAAATAGTCGAAAATGGTTTTTTGAAAAAGTTGCCAAAATTTCTCAGAAAACTTTGGAACTCTGATTTTGGCTTGGTGATTCTACAAATTTAGCGCATTGTGACGTCAGGGCAAGATTTTAGGAATATTCGTTTTAAAAATTAATTTTGTTTAAATCCAAAAAATCGCAATATTTCGGCGGACAGTTCTGCAAAAATGGTAGGAAGTATCGAAGAACTGAAACTAACAAGTGGATGCTGAAATCCATAAAAAATGTTTTTAGTTAAGCGTCGAAAATGATCGAAAATTGGTCGAAATTTCTAACTGAAAAATTTAGCTTTTGAAAAAAATTGCCAAAAAAATTATACAAAATTCTGGGGTATAGACTTCGAAGTGCTGTTTCCAAAAATATAGCGTATTTATCGTTCTGTGGCAAGATTTATAAATATTCGTTATGAAATAATTTTTTTAACCCAAAAATTGCAATTTTTCAGTGGGCGATTTTGAAAAAACTAAAATCTGGATATCGAACCCTTTATGTGAAGGAGTACTGAACAAATTTCAATTCCTAAAATATTCCAGATCAGAACGAGTTTTAGAAGAACCCATAGAAGCTGAAAAGATATAAAAATTTTATTTGATTTGAAGGCGATTAATTGCCTTATAGAAATGGAAAAAGAAATTTCCAAAGTTAGTGGCTTTTTCAGACAAAAATCAAAGAACTACAATTAGGCTTTTATATAAAATATTGGGTTTCATTTTGTACAAGGAAAATATTGATAACAACAGATGAAGAATCACTGGTAAAAATTAGAAACAAATTTATAAATAGACAGAATTTGTTCAAAGTTGAAAAATTTGGAATATAGAAAATAGATTTAAGAAGAAATCTAACACTAAGGTTTAAGAAAATTTTTATTTTTTAAAGTGAGAAAGAAAGAAAAGAGTCGAAGAGAAAGTAGAACACAGTACAAATATTACAGAAGATGAATTTTTCCATAAAAATGAACTTTAGAGATTAAAAGAAAGAAAGAATTATAGTCGTTGTTCTAGAGCAAGGAATGAATCGTGTTATTACTTTGTTTATACAATGCTATCAATATAGTATCATTAAATTATAGTAGATTACGTAATGAAATTTTCGAGTAAAACAATCCGAAATTTCCGTTTAAAATTGTTGCCACGTCATTTGACGTTTATTCGTTAGAACAGCAACAATGAAAATTTGAATTTAGCAGTTTTGATTGGTGCAAAAATGGTTAGTGACGTCAGTCTCGTTATTATTCTATTAAATGCTCACCAATCAATAAAAAAGTTATTGATTCTACAAATGGAGCTGATTTTGTCTGAAACTGAAACGTAAAAATTACAGTAGACGTGTAAAAATTATAACTCTTAAAGAAATGCAAACTCGATAAGAGAGGGAACATTTTTCTCTACTATTAATTATCATTCCTTGTTATTTTTAATTAAGACTGTGAGTGCTTCGGATGAATGGAGGAAATCTTCATCACGCAAAAGTGTAATAAATGTAAAGCGAAAATGGACAGACAGACAGACAGGCATAAAACGGAAGCATTAGGGATTTATCCCCCCGTCAAAATTTTGTCGCGTTCCGCAGCTGCAAGATTCTTAGGGCAATAATGAGCAATGTGAATGCGTTGTATGAGGAGTAATGAAGGGTTAATGGGGCAAGAGACTGATAGGGATGCTTTAGACTCACCGCCTCGCAAGAGCTCTCCTGGCTGCTCCTGTCGGCTTCGTGCGCCTCATGTTCAGAATCTGAAAGGATTAATTAGGACTCGTTTTAGCATGTTGATATGAACAAAACTGTTCTCTAAACACTCAGCTCGCATTATTAATGGCGCTACATGGAATTAATGAGGGTAATCCGTCTGTAATTGACATGGGGGTGATTAGCGGCGCGATTCCCGTCTGAACTCCACAATGGCCCGTCTCGAAAAATCATCGATTTGCCCCGATTGAAAAGAAAGGGGAAACGCGCCTTTCTGATCCCGACTTTTTTAATCCGACGGGGAAACGACTGTGCGTTCTATGCTAAATCCGGGTTAACGATGGGCGAACTGTACGTAAAACGTTGTCAGCTCGAATTAAGTCGCAATTATTGCTAGAGCCGCTAAATTATCGCTTAATGGAAATGCGCTGTCGTCAAAGGGAAAAACGCTGCAAGAGGATCACTTACTTGGGACGATTTCTTGATGTAGAGTAGTCATGACTAGTGCAATTTGAAAAAGGCCTTTCTCATAATTCGATGTGTATTCTTTTCCCACAAAGGAATTTTCCCACAATAAAATTGGTTATGTCACAAAATTTTATAAACAAATGATTTAATAAACAAATACGTTTGTGAAAAGCGCCGACGTGATTTGAGGGCTTTCTGAACTAGACGTCCAAGTTTACGATGTTTCAAAACTCAATAGAAACTTTATCGACAGACGCTAGCTCGAAAAACTGCAAGGTTTTAGGCATTGCTCAATTTTATTATCATTGGATCGAGCAAAGTGCGGTTTAGTTTAGCTAAGGATTTTGCTAAATCAAAGTTCGACGAAGACTTCTGCTGGGAATTCATGCACATTCAAAACTAAATTGTCAAGCCGGATTATAGGATTTACCCAATTACCTACCCACTTTCTACTACAAAGAGTGTTTCTTATAAGAATCAAATTAAGTATTGTATTGTACTGAGCATCGCTACGCAAGCACAGAGGTGGAACACAGCGAAGATAAATTGGTTAATAATTGAATCGTCTGGAAGATGGTCGAAGAATAAACGACTGCTTTAGGTGATGTCATCAGATTTTGCTGTGGATCAATAAGTTAATTTTTTCGTTTCCACGCGCCGACAGACGACAGACAGACGGAAACGGGGAATCGGCCATGTCCATCAGAGATGCCAACTGTGATTTTGAAAATATCAATTCCGCAAACAGGTTTTAATATTAAAAAAAAATTAGCTTACCCCTAAAAAACTGACGTCATTTTACAATGTTTGCCTAGTAAATGTTGCTTAAATTTAGTTGAATTAGATTCTTCTGCATATATGATTTAACAATCCCTGTTGAGTTTTACCCTAGACATCCAGATTTTTCTTGCTTAATCCTCTCTTCTACGTTGAGGAAACAAAATCAAATTTCATTTCCTTTCAACTGCTCATGCTTGTGGTTTGAAAACGCTAATAGTCAAATTTTACAGTTTATTTTATTAGTATAAACATAAACAGTCGAAGTTAAGCATTGAGAGTACCTACATTTCTTCGTTAGTTATCTGCTTTAATTAAATACAGTCGTGGCTAAAAAATTTTGGATGTCATTGAAAATTTTGATGTATGCTTTTTATAATATTTTAAAGAAGCGGGATTTGTCGGACTACGCTTCAAAGATAAACAAACTTCTGTGGAAATAATTTTCAAATTTATTTTACTTCCCGAGCGTAAGCGAAGGACTATTGTAATCGAGTCCGTCGGCCGGCTTTTAGATTTTTTCGACCTTTCATGACCCCTAGAGTACGAAGAAATAGGTCTCCCGTTTCCGTCTGTCTGTCTGTCTGTCCGTCTGTCCGTCTCTTCGTCTGTTCGTCTGTCCATCTGTCAATCTGTCCGTCTTTTTGCTGTCCTGGATTTTTATTAGACCAATAATCTCCGAAAGTACTGGGCCGATTGTTGTCAAATTTTGTATTTATATTTGGAATATCATGTAGATGGTCAAACGCTAATCAAAATTTGTTTAATCATCCCCACCAATAATATGATGACGGTTGGGTGGGGCTAGTACTTGGTGAGATAAGACTGATTTTGGCAAACGACATACCCTGTAAGAAAGTAAATGGTGGGTGGGCAGGGGTAGTACTTGCTAGGATAGGACTTATTTCGGCAAATGGCATATTCTCTGGGAAAATAGGGGGCGGGTGGGCGGGCCTAGTATTTGTTAAGATAAAACTGATTTTGCCTCTACTAATCTTGCAAAAACTTGTGAAATTTAAAGGTGCTAAATTGCAAATTTCCATAGTAATGAGTTAAATTCCTACATCTACCCGAAATGTGATAAATACGATGAGTTTTTACTTGTGAATTATCATTGCATTCATATTTTTTAGATTTGCTTATACAGGTGGCTCAAAAAAATTAATGAATGTGTCAATTTATTTTATTGATTAAATCAGGAACGGCTCACTCCATTTTCCCAGAAAATTTTGGGAATACAATACTGTCCGTCTGTCTGTCCGTCTGTCTGCCGTCCGTCTGTTCGTCTGTCCGTCTTTTCGTCTGTCCGTCTTTTCGTCTGTCCGTCTGTCAGTCTGTCTGCCGTTCCGGAATTTCATTAGACAGATAATCTCCGAAAGTACTGAGTCGATTGTTGTCAAATTTTGTATTCATATTAGGAATATCATGTAGAGGGTAAAACGCTAACCAAAATTTGTCCAATCATCTTCACCAATAATGTACATAGTAAATGGCTTTTAAATTGTATAGAATAACATAGTCCTACACATGTGGTTTATGAATCTGTATTGAGTTTTTACTTGAAACGTCCAGATTTTTGGAAAAAAAATCAAAATTATAAAACAACATTTTGCAATTTAATTTTGAATCTGCTAACCTGAATGTTTTGAAATGTTGCAGATGTTTCAAGGCTGTAAAGAGCATCATAAATCTTTAGTCAAAATATAATTGGTTATCCCCTCCAAAAACTTGATGACGTCAGCTCAAAAGTTTGCCGAATAAATCCTATCTAAAATGTACAAAATATGATGCTTCTGTACTTGTGATATATCACTCCATTCATATTTTTCATATTTTTTGGATTTGCATATACAGGGTGACTCAAAAAAATTAATGAATGGGCAAATTTTATTTTACTGATTTACTCAGGAACTACAAAACTGAATGCTTTGAAATCTTGAAGATGTTTTAAAATTATCATAAGCATGGTAAATTTTTGATCAAAATGTGTTTGGTCGTCCACACTAAAAAATGTATGACGTCACCACAAAATTTTGCTGAATAAATCCTATCTAAAATGTTAAAAATATGATGAGTCTGTACTTGTGATTTATCATTCCATTCATATTTTTTGGATTTGCATATACAGGGTGACTCAAAAAAATTAATGAATGCGTCAATTTATTTTATTGATTTTATCAGGAATTACAGAACCGAACGCTGTGAAATCTTGGAGATGTTTTAAAGATGTCATAAGCATGGTAATTTTTTTATCAAAATTTATTTGCTCATCCCCCCTAAAAAAATTGATGACGTCACCCTAACATTTGGTGAAATAAATCCTATCTAAAATGTTAACATTTTATAATGTAATTTTGAGTCTGCAAAACCGAATGCTTTGAAATCCTGCAGATGTTTTAAAATTAAGATGAGCATAATAAATTTTTAATCAAAATATAATTACTTATCCTCTCCAAAAAATTGATGTCGTGAGCTCAAAATTTTTCTGAATAAATCCTATCTAAAATGTCCAACATATCGTCGCCTGAGAACTGGTTTGATCTACAGACCAGAGCGCAATTTTTCAGCGTTTTAAATTTTAGATTTTTTGATCTATCAATTTTTTGATTTTTGATTTTTCGATTTTGGTCTTTCTCCCAATATTTCTTGTTTAAAATTTTGATTTATCAATTTTTCAATTTTTAACTTTTGGAGTTTTTGATTTTGCGCGATTTCGGTTTCTCAGTTTTTCGATTTTTCGACTTCTCAACTTTTCGACTCCTCGATTTCTCGATCCTCTTATTCTTCAATTTCCGATGTTTCTATTTCTCGGTTTTTCGATCTTTCACTTTCCGGCTTTTCGATTTTTCGATTTTCCAATTATTCGAAGTTTCGATTTTTCAGTTATCAGAGTTTTTAATTTTTCAATTTTTTAAATTTTGGAACTTCGATTTCTCAGTTTTCCAATTTTTCGATATTTTAATTTTCATTTTAATTCAGTTCGTCTCTATTTTGATTTTTCTCGGTTTCTCAATTTTTCGATTTCTAGACTTTTCGACTCCCATATTTCTCGATCCTTTAATTTTTGAATTTTTCAATTTTTTGATTTCGCGGTTTTTCGATTTTTTACTTTTTACTTCCAATGTTTCGATTATCCGGTTTTTCAATTGTTCAATTTTTTAAATTTTGAAGTTTCAATTTCTAAATTTTAGGTATCCGAATTTGTATATTTTTGATGTTTGGATTTCTAGATTTTTCAATTTTTCGATATTTTAATTTTGCAATGTTTTAAATGTTCGATTTTTCGATTTTTCAGTTCTTCAATATTTCTATTTTTCAATTTTTCGATTTTTCAATTTTGCGGTGTTACGATTTTTTTGTTTCGATTTTTTGTCAATTTGGTTTTTCGATTTTTAAAGTATATGTATATCAACTTTTCAATTTTTAGATTTCTCGATTTTTCAATTTTTCAATTTTTAAAATTCTGGATTTGCAATTTCTCGAGTTATCAGTTCTATATTTCATTTTTTAATTTTCCGAATTTTTCGATTTACGATTTTCCAATTTTTCTTGTTTAAAAATTTTGATTCATCAATTTTTCAATTTTTAATTTTTGGAGTTTTTGATTTTGACCGATTTCGGTTTCTCAGTTTTTCGATTTTTCGACTTCTCAACTTTCCGACTCCTCGATTTCTCGATCCTCTTATTCTTTAATTTCCCATGTTTCTATTTCGCGTTTTTTCGATCTTTCACTTTCCGGCTTTTCGATTTCTCAATTTTTCGATTTTTCAGTTCTTCTCTATATTTCTATTTTTCAATTCTTCGATTTTTGGATTATTCAATTTTGCGGATGCGATTTTTTTGTTTCGATTTTCTGCCATCTTGGTTTCTCGATTTTTCAAGTTTTGGATACTTTTCAGTTTCTGTTTTTTTTTAATTTTTCGATTTTTGAAATTTTTGATTCTTTGATAATGCAACTTTTCTATTTTTGTAAAAATTAATACAAAGTAGACCACAATACATAGAGAGAAATCGAAAAATAAATTAGTCAAAGTTGGCTATGCACGAAAAGCCGCTTGTCTTAGTTTAAAATATTTTTTTATTAAACGTCACGTTGACAAAAGTAATTTGCAATGTTATCAAACGAAATTAAAGCTTTTTTGTTAGAATCTTACTCAAAAATGGTACAAAATTGGAAAACGGTGAGTTTGATACATTTTTATGTATCTACTATTTGTAGGTTTAAACTGTCAATTTGACATTTAATAAAAAAATTTAAATTACGACAAACGGCTTGTCGTGCATAGCCAACTTTGACTAATTTCTTTTTCGATCTCTCGGTATTTCTGAAACATTAAAATAACTGCACTTTCTACCAGTATTGCTAATTTAGAACG